CTTCCGTGCACGACCGCCTTGACGTGGACACGCTAACGCGGATAGATATAAACGAGAAGAACGAGTATTTTTCCTCGCCATTCTGACGTTTCGTTTCTTCCGTTTCTCTCTCTCTCTCTCTCTCTCTCTCTCTCTCTCTCTTCGATGCAACGACAAACTGGCTCGTCTCGGTCACGGCAATGTACTTTTTCAGTGGGAAAGGTGAAAGAGAAAGGTAGAAACGAAACGAGAGCTAGGAATGCTAAAGTATATCTGATACATACTAATAGTTCATGCGGCATTGCGATAATTTAATGGAATTCACGGGGAACAATCTTGGATCTCTGTGTCTGATATACTGTGAGTGATTCAGAAGTAGATGATCGAAATATATTTAAAACGGGATTTTTATCTATCAGGATAATTTTTTATTCGTTTTTTACTGGCAAGTTAATTAATTTACCGATACTACAGATACGAGATTCTAATAAAACGATACGATGATCGAAATCGTGATATTTCTATTCTGCATTTTTTCTTCTTTCTTTTTTTTTTTTTTTTTTCTATATATACAATTCCTTATATACAATTTAAGTAGCTTAAGCTTTACACGTGTTCCAGACCTTGTTATATTTTTACTTAGCGACACTACCTGCTATTTTATAATCCTACACTCGTACGGTATCCCGGTAAGAGAGAGATATATATAAGGAAGCACTTTCGAATACATATTCACGTAACTTCTCTCATCTTTAACTCAAGTTGGCTTAGATATATTTTTAAATTTTCTAAAACCTTTCTAATACCCCGCCATTAATCAAATTTCCACGCGATCTAAAATATATAAATACCCATCGGATGGGCTCTCGTTTCAACCTATGAATGAACCTGTTAGAGAAAACCGGAGACTGGAAAGAGGGCAAAGAACTTCTCGGGCCCGGCCCAGTCATTTTCCACGAATACAATTATTTCAGACGGTACTGTTTCAGACGGTAACTCGTTCCATATCCGCGATGAGCCATAGAAGCAACATACACGTAGGCGCTTTCCCACGCTTCGCGCACACCGCATCTTTGTACCTATGAACTTTTGCGGAACAGAGCGGCGCAAAACACGGTTTTACGACGGTGCACAACGGCCGGACGACTGCTCCGCTTTTTCTACCTCAGACACGCTTTCTCGCAGCGTCGCCGATGAAAGGAAGGCTGAACCGTTGGAAATGGAGCGCGAACGTGGCATCGATCGATCATTGTTCCACGATAATTCACCGGCAAATTTCGCGTCGTCCACCGCGAAATCTCGAAATCTCGTTTCTCTCTGACCTAAGTTTATTCTTATCCGTGGATTTTCTCAGCTCCTCTAGAACTGTCCGCGCGTAGATTTATCACAGAGCCGAGACCGATCGCCCCGATGAGAAAATGGATACACACGTGGCGTGAAACGGAAAAAAAAGAGCTCTTCCTCGATGTTCTCTTTTTTTCTTTCTTTCTTTTCGTATTGTTTCACTTTTCATCGCGCGGAATCGAGTCACGGGAAAGCACTGTTCTAACAAAGCAAACGAGAAGAAGAGATGGAAGAGAGGATGGAGCGAGACAGTAGTAGAGTAGACTTATGTAACGACGGCAAATAACGCTAATGAGCCTACTCCGCCTTCGTTCCTTTTATTCTTTTTCCAGGAGATTCTCGTCCCTGAGTTACGAAAACTATTTCAGCGGAGCGTAATTGACAAAAAGCGCGAGACCGTTTCTCGAAATATTAACCTCGTGGATAAAGTGTGCACGCGTTTAGCGTGCGGCTTTCGAGATTATGCAACGTTTGAGAATTTGCTTCGGTAATTCGTACATTATCACGGTATGTTAATGATCGAAGAATTAGCAAAACGTTATGCATACCTTCGTTGTGTGTTGGTTAAAGAGGAAATAGTCACGGCTAATAATCCATTGCGGTGTAACGGTGTATTAAAAGCGCGTCTTCGAATTAATTTTATTTCCTCGGGAGTTCATTCGTGTTTTCTTTCGCGCGATGGTAATTAGATAAATTCAATTAAGTTTAATCGTGGCAACCGGTACGGCGAGTTTTCACTTTCTATTCATGAATAAGATGTTAATGTTCCTCTTTCGAAAATCTAGTTTTAACAACACGCAACGACCGGTTTTCTAATATCAATTGAGAAAATTGGGATAAAAATTTATTTGTATCATTTGTTTATCTTTGATCGTTTACATTATCGAAATTATTATTATTATATTGAATGTTATTGGGAAAAAAATTATAATTTATGACTCGCAAAATTTCACCGATAACGTTACTTTGCAAAATAATTATGCAAATTCCACTTATCTTAATGGAGTTGATCAATTTAACTTCTATGATTCATTTCACGGAGCAATAAAAAGAATTTGAACGCGAGTTTAATAAATATATCGGAAAATATCTGTCAAAATCTTACTATGAAAATTTTACTAGTAACTTTTATTTTCTAAGCAATCGTGATTAATTTCGCAATACGGACAATCTTAATCGTATAATTATATTAATTCGAATAAGAACGTCTTTGTTCGTCGTTTTCAGACGCACGGCTTGAATACTTTTCTTCGAAACGAACATAGTTGCTTTCTCGAGATAATCGCAAAATTATCATCAATTTTACGAGAAATTGGACGATTCTCGCTCGTATGTTCAAGTTCATCGCGAGAGTGATCGAAAGATCTGAGATAAAAAAAAATAAAGAAACCACAAAAGAAACAAAAAGGACAAATTTCTTTCAACTGTGTTTGAAAGGTTAATTAAATGTCACGTAATTTAACATGCATTTTTCCTACGAATTCCGCATGATAATGGACGAATATTTTTTCGTGTAATTGAATAATTCAGCAGAGAAAGAGAGAGAAAGATCCTTTAATTGGAGCCGCCCAGGAAGAAAAACTTGTATAGATCGGCGAAACATTGCATCGCTAATTATGTCACGAACCTATCTGACCGTAATCAGAAATAATTGTTACACGATTCGTCGAATAATTTAATTCCTAGTCTCTCATTGTGCTGTAGAATATTATATCCCTCTCTGAACGATTATTCCTACGAAATTATTAAACGATTTATTCGTTCGATGATCTCGAAAAAGAAAAGTGGAGAGAAAAGAAAGTGAAACTAACTCCATCTCGAGTGAAAAACCTATCGCGAAAACGATTTCTTACGATTCCTTAATCCTTATATTCCCATTTCAAGAAAACAATTTTATCCCACGAAACCGCGACATTTATCGTCCCATTCGTTCCTTCGTTCATCGATATAAAACGTTCTCTTTTTCAATCCAAGACTCGCGAAAGAACCATCCGAGACTCGTATCCAACGCGATTTCTCCAATCGTTGCATGTGACGAATGATCAAATCTTTACGACACGCGAGACCGTGTTGCGTTTCTCGCGGCTCCGCTCGTTGGCGTGGCAATTTCTCAAAATCGCGTCACATGCACACCTCGCTTTATCAATTATTCTTCTCAATCTTATCACGCGCTTTTATACGCGTTCTTATTTTTTTCTTTTTTTTTCTTTTTTTCTTTTTTTTTCCGCCGACAATCGAAAGACGCGCGTGACGATTCGTGGCCATTTACGGTACCAGATACGATTATCGTTCCGCGTTCCAACTTCTCGTCGAGGCAATTTTTTCTTTTTTCTGTCTCCCTTCCCTCCCTTCTTCCCTACACCCGAACGGCACGAGTCTCTTAACGAAGATAAAAGGACTGCTAACTCGAACACTCGAACACGCGAGCAAGAGGCCGAGCCGAAGCTCGTCAAAAGGAACGCCTTGAATTTGCACGTGCTCCTCATCATTACCTCATCGACCACGCACGCTCCCTTCATTCCTATAAAGCGACTCTTTTTCGCACGAAAAGATCACTTTTTCGCTCGCCCTGAATATTTTTCGCGATTCTTTCAAATTTATAATTATATTCCTTCGCGTAATATATTGTTATTTCTTCGTTATTTTGTTAACGAGTGAGGTTATTTTACGATGCAGGTAATAAAGAATGTTTCGATTGTTTCGAGATAATATCGTTTTTTTATTGTAAATTTATCAAGTCACCGAGATCTCGATAATAATTTTCTATTTGAATAACTATAAATAGTAAAATTATCGTATAATTCGCAATTTTAAACCGGTTAACGAATGGTTTTTGCATCAATCATTTACCTACTTTAAATATTGCTCTAAATGATTAGGTTAATAGCTAGTTTAATGGTTATGTTTGATTACCTTTCGAATATGATCATTAATATTTGAAAGATTAATATTATAAATTAATATAAAAGTTAATAAATTTGATAATTTTTCAATTAAATAATTGTTATTAAAAAAAACAGTAATCGATTATTTTAAATAATATTTATATATCGATATATCTACGATAATCCGAACGATATAGTCAATATATGTATCGTATGTATGTGTTGAATACGAAAGATAAAGACTTTCTTCTCTAATACAAGCAAGCAAGCTCGTCCTATTGCAGAATATCGATATGGAAAATCAATGTGAATATCCTATTCATATTATTCGTATTTTACTTGTTCGTTTCTTTTTAAATAAACCCGGACAACAGAATATATCAGCTAATTAATACTTTAACAGTAAATTACGTTATAAATTCAATCGCCAATCTAACCTCTCAACGGACACGTGAAATCGAAACGTATGAGTGACAGATATTTTACACAATATCGATCTAAAAATCAATAGAAAAGTATTATGAGATCCTACCTTACTTCCACTCATCCTGAATAACTTCAAAGGCGTATCAGGATTACAACACAAAGCAAATTAAAACCACTAATCACTGCACAAAACAGAACGTATGCGCGTCGACTTTTGAACGACAGTTGGACGCGCATGTAACGCTTCGAATTTAACTGGATGCGCGCGCACGAAACGGAGCAACGATAGAAGGCGCTACGTTTGAAAGCGATTGCTGAGATCAAAAATCGATATTTCTTTTTTAAACAAAAATATCGATCACGTACCTGGACTGGTCTGCCATGATAGACCACCGATGAACATTTTCCTAGAAAAAGAAAGATGAATCCATCAGCATCGGCATCAGGTTGCATCTCCGGCAGATGACGAAGGAAGATAGGGGAGACTGCCGGCAGAGGGTAACTTCCGGTATTGTGACCCCCTGCGCAGTCTCCGTTTGTCGACGGCAGGTGTCACCACACATCAACCAACAACTGAACAACTCGCGGATATTTTTCTTTTCTTTATGCATTAATAATAACCTCATTAAAACACGTCGTTCAATTTCCGAGACGTTGCATCCATTTAAAACAGAAACCAAACGATTCACGCGCGAAACACAACGAACACGTGTTCTCCTCGTACCTGAGCGCCTTCTTTCTTCGATATTGATAATATTTATTTCGATCCTATTAATTTCGATTAATCGTAAAAAATTGCTTGAAATTATCTACGTTAAAATTGATGGCGATTATTTGGATTTAAATAATTTTTATGTCTAATGATGATAACCGTAACGTCGAGAAAATATTTTATTCCTAATTTGCGATGTTCTTGAAATTTAATAAATTATATATAGCAAAATAAATTATCCCCTCGTGCAACGAAACGAGCCTAGTTGGTGCGTTGCCGTACCAGATTGTACTTATTAACCGGTTTACGAGAAATACTATCGTAATCGGTACCGTAAAAGCTTTTACGCATCGCGGGTTCGCAAGGGCACGGTAAACGCGTGGTCGTAATGTAAATGTATTCTAGATACGGGCTCGTTTAAATATACCGTGTTTAACTTGTTAGAGCAAGAGTTCTTTAAGAACGCGTAGAAAGATTATTCTTCGTAGCTATTCTTATGCAAATAACCAATGGCACATAAACCATTTTATTGTAAAATAAAATTTCTAACGTCAATTCGAATATCGAGGGATAAATACCGCTGGGAGATTTCGAAACCGGATAAATTCACTTTTATTACTCATTCAATAGTTATCCTAATCACTGTTAAGTGCTTGTTTAAATCGATACGCGTTGTTACATCTCCTAATACCGTCAATTATTTCCATTGTCACCAGTCGTCAAAACACAGTTTTATTTGAACAATCTCGCCGCTCCTGATGACGTGTCAGTCAATCACGAATGAATAACTTTTAACAGTGCCTCGTAACGTCGTGTACAAATAACGTCTTTATAGCAAATACATTCTTGTCAATGAACGTATAAATACTGCACGGTAATTGCGGCACGAACTAACCGGCACGAAATAATTTAACGCGTTCTATAAAATGGATCGGTCTGCAGTACGTTGTATTGTTAACGTCAATACCAGCGTTTATTAATCGAGTCGTGAATCCGTGAGAAAATGCATACAATTTTTTTTTCCCGTACTCATGTACTTCCTATACTCCTACATACTTCCGCACTTTTTTCTCCCCGGTACGTTTGAAAAGAAGGTCATAACACCGACCGGCAACCTAATGCATCGGCATTACTGGGAAGCAAAGATTATCGCTGCGAGCTGTATATCCACCAAGATAACGCTCTCGCGTTGTGGACGTAATCACGTGGTGGCGCATTTGAACATCGATTTTCCGTGGCACGATATAACCTATTCCCCTCACCCACGCATTCCTCCCTCTCGGTCCTCACTCCCCGTTCCCGCGATGCCTCTTCGGTTCTCTCTTTAGGTCTTCGTGATACGAAGAACTGGAGTAGGCTACCGCACTATACCCCCGTTGATAGGTTCGAGAGAATTAATAGGGCAAACCATTGATCATACGTCGTCGGAATCGATCGGGCCGAGCGATGCACCACCAACCTGTCTAACTTTACACTGGAATTGCTAAACTTGTCATCATCCCCGTGAAAGGATTTTAACGTTCCATGTGTGCTTGCATTTCCTCGTACCGACCACGTACACGTTATCGTATCCGTACACCACACACACACACGCGGTTACGTCCAACAAAAAAAAAAAACGAAACGTCCCGAGAAGTTTGAACCGGTGATTGATAAACCAGCCGAGCTTCTCCTCTGTTTTTACTCACGAGTCACGTGGTGACGCGAGACACTGTGGCTCGAGGGCCGGAAAACTTTCACCATCACGTGACACATCGTATCTATCCCTTCGAAGCACAATGATTTTGTCGCGTTTCTTCGTTGCTTTTTTTTTTTTTTTCTTTCCCTCGTTATTTCTTCAACGAACAATCGTTATCCGAACAATCACTTCTCGATATCCGAAAAATATTTATTCGGAACTATTGAACCATCGTTGGCGGCAAAATTCAAAGGTGTTGAGTCACACTTCTCTTTCCCTCCCTACCTCACCCCTTTCTCCACGACCCCTGCTGTTCCTCTTTCCCATTCATCTAACTTTTCCCCTTCGTCTCCCTTCCTTTCCTTTCATCAAGGCTCGAGGGGGATGCTGATCACTGAAAGAAGGCGCTACCGGTCCGAGGAGAGCGCCGTGGCACGCATATTCACGCGTCCGACAAACGTAAACACTATATATATATATATATATATATATACATAACGCTCCCAGCTATGCGTTATCATGGCGACGAAAAAATCCACGAAAAACGACAATTTGAAACGATGCCTCCGGTATAACGGATAACCGAGCGATAATAACGAAACGAACCGCGTAACAACAAACGTGAATCATTTTCGTACGATACGACGGAATGATTCGTATCGGAACGGTAAGAAAGCATCAACATAATAAACACTCGAAAAACGTGGAGCAGGGGAACAGAAACACAAGGCGACGAGGAACAACACGACCCGTGTAAATAGTTCGCGCGCGATATCAAAACACACTTTCGAACGCGTTTCGCTCCGTTTTCACGCACGCTCGATCTCGTTTAATGGCGGATAATGTAGCGGAGAACTGTTTTCTGGGATCGGGATATATCCTGGTTTCTCGTACCCTGGATCGTTCGGCACCTCGGCTGGCGAACCGCTCGCAACGATTTCCTGGTTCTGGGCCTCCATAGCGACGCGCGGCGCACGGCTTGTCGTTATGACAACGCTCTCGCGTGTCCGGGGTTGCAGTGGCTATGGTAACACTAGTACCAGTGGCAATGGCAGCCGGCAATCTGGCCGATACCCGCCTCGCTTCTCTCGCTGAACACCACGTCGTCACCTGAATCTGATCTTCTCCCTGCGTTCGCCCCTTCGTCGAAAAACACCTCGACTCGACTCGATCCTTCGCGTGTCAACGGCTCCCGATGTCACGGCACGGCACGACACGCACTTTCACGCGCGACTTATCACCACGCGCGGCTTCTACCTCTCGTTGATCCTCTCCCAGACCCTCTTCCGTTTTGTTACGTTTACTCCGCGCCTCTTTAACCTTCGCGCTCCTTCCTTCTCCTCCTCCTCCTCCACCTCCTCCTCCTCCTCCTCCTCCTCCTCCCTGTTGTTCACCTATCTCTCTCTGTTTCCCTGGTAGCACACCCGATGTGCGCGGTGCTCCCGTCGTTTTCGGAAGGTCCGCCTCGGGATTTTGCGCTTCTGCTCGTCGCGCGATAAATTATACGACTGTGCAGGGACGGTGGGAACGTGGAACGAAACGTACGTGCGCGGTACGTTTCACGGCTCGCACACACTATGTTTCCCTCTCTCTCGTCCTCCTTCCTCCTTCTTTCTCTCGTTCCCCGTATTTTTGTTTTCCTCTCGATCCCGAACCACGATTTCGACGAACAACCGTATGTATACTGTGCGTGATCCGCGTTGGTCGCGTCGAGCCGGATCACGACTACGACGACGGCGTGAGCGGAGACGGTGACAACGAGGAGGATGACGACGTAGACGACGTAGACGACGACGTAAACGTAGACGGCGTAGACGTAGCACGTAGACGACGAGGATTACGAGGACGGCGAGGACGACGTCGAAAACGACGACGACAACGACGTGCGACGAGAAGTAGAGAATTCACGACGACGAAAAAACGGGCTGGCCACCTCTCGTTTTCTCCCTTTTTCTCACAGACTAAATCGGCTTCTCGTTGTTTCTCGTTCTTCTTTTCCGTTTTTCTTTTTTTTTTTTCTTCTTCTCTTCTTTCACTTTCTCCCCTTTCTCTTTCGCTCTCTCTCTCTCTCTCTCTCTTCTCTCTCTCTCTCTCTCTCTCTCTCTCT